ACAAGCCAATAGGTTTGAATTGCGAAGGCTCTCAGATTCATCAATTTAGGAATTAGAATAATCAACGTATCCTTCCATTCAAGATGCATTTATCCTTTTGTAAGGAAACCATCCACTGCCCTCCACGAATCAACTTTTATAATGTTACAAAAGAACTTAATGAATGAGGCGGTAATACCATCCAAACATGGAGATTTGTTGTTCCCCAAGTTCCTGACAGCTTCCAATATTTCTTCTTGAGTAAAATCCGCATTTAGCATCTTCCATTCAGAATTATCTATTCTTTGATGATTAAACACTTTAGGCCAATCCGAGAGCTTGCAATCTCTTGGCTTCCATTTTTAACTAAAGAAATTAAGGAATGGAGCTTCAATCTTATCTTGATCTTCCACAAGGCCATCAATAGCATGTTTTATCTGATTAATTAACTTCCCATTTCTTCTACCTGAAGCATAGTAATGAATGAACTTTGAATTTGTGTCACCTTCTTGGATCCATCTTGTTTTAGCTCTGGTTCCACCAGGTGGCTAATCGTGCCAAAGTGACATTCAACTCTCGCACTTTACTCCTTGACAGCAGCAGGTCTTGTTGACTAAGACCATCTTTTGTACTTTCTTTTGGTAGCAACTCCATGATCTCCTACTTCAAAGCCTCCTTCAAAACTGACAAATCCTTCACTTTATTTTTATTCCAATAATACAATTCTTTCAAAGCTCTCTTCAACTTCCTTTGCAAAATTTCAGCATCATTGCTAAAATCAGATATTCTCAAAGCTTTATGAACCACATTCCAAGCTGCCAGGTAGGATCTCCAACATCTTCAAATATGATAAATTTATGAATAGGTCTTGACGTATCATTCAACTTGAAAATAATGGGAGAGTGATTCGATGCAACTCTTGCTAGATGCCTCACCAAAGCATAAGGGACCTGCTGAAGAGCTACATAATTCAATAAGCATCTATCCAGCCTTTCCCATATCCTTGAATTACCGTCCTTATTATTGCACCAAATATACCTTGGTCCTATAACACATGCATCATGAAAATCATTGTTAGTTAAAAAGGACTTCATTACTTGAGGACCTTGGGAGGATAAATCTTTTCCTGCTCTTTGTCTTCCTTAAACAAAATACAATTAAAGTCTCCTCTCACTATAGAAGGAATATCACACACCAATTCCTTCTCAAGGCTCTCCCATAAACTTCTTCTAACCCACACATCCTTACTATCATATACCGTTGCAACATTCCAACACCCCTTATTCAGAATTTGGAAGCACCCAAATACCACTTGGGATGAATCAAACATAACATCAAAACTATCCTCCGACCTTTTCCAAAGAACAAGAATACCCCTAGAAATACCGTTAACAGGATGGTGAAAAAAAATCCCAATCCTCCCCAATTATCCTATTATCTTCCTTTCTATGAATAAAAGACAACTTAGTCTTTACCAACCCAATGAAAAATACCTCATTATCCCTCACAATCTCTCTAAGATAAAGAGAAGCCACTTTTATTTTTTATTTTTTTATTTTTGTCTCCTCTACAATTCTAAAGCAAAAAGGAAGACATAAAGAAACCAATGGGGAATAGTCCCTAGCACCATGGAAATAACCTCCTTCCCCTTTCCTCTTTCTAATCCTCAATAGGCCCCAATGATTTAAGTTCTTTAGTAAGATTCTATTTATTACTAAAAGAACTTACACCATTAACAACACAAGAAAGAGATAAATTGTTATCTATTTGAATAGAGGAATTCCTTGCTATAAGCACATCACCTTTTCCATCCAGCTTTTCTGATGAACAACCACCATTACCACCAGCAAATGGAGTATCTTCAAAACGAGAAGAATCATTATTAAAATAATTTAATTCAAAAATTGACTAAGAATTCTGAATTCCAGCATAACTAGACAAATTTGCATCCAACCTTTTAAATGCTTCATTTGCATCACATTCCACTCTTATATCAATGTTAAGCTTCAATGTTTGATCACCTATAAAACTCTTGATGCAATCAACATTAGTAACGTCAGAAGGGATATTAAAAACATGTACCTTTAGCATTTTAGACTTTTGCTCATCATCATTTTGTCCATCTTTATCATCAATGGGCTCAACAAGAGCACTAAATTTATTTGTATTTAGCAAGTTAAAACAATTTTCCTGATCATTAATTGGTAGGGAAGTATCTTCAACACTATAAACTCCATCAGTCTAGATGACAACTAAAGCTCCCATCACATTTTCTTCAAGTCCAACCTGAGAAGGAACCTCCATATCACTCCTATTCAAGATCTTTTTGTTTAGATCCTTGTTTCTGAAGAATCATCCCCTATTTGTTCTGAAATTTTACATGGATCTAAGGTCCATATTTGACTGCAACCTTTTTGTTCATAACACGCTTATTTCCTTCATCCGAACTAGAAATTGAGGCATCTTCATTATGAGAGTTATTATTGTCAACAATAGCATCTTCTTCAAGACAAGAATTAGCCTTATGTCCAATATTTCCACATTTAAAGCAAAAAAGAAACAATTTTCTCATATTTTATCTTCTAATAGAATCTTATTTCCACACCATCCACCCAAATACCTCCTGGCAATTTAGCATCCAGATTGATTCGAACACAAACTCTTGTGAATTCCCTCCTTCCCCATTTGAACATGTTTCCATTAAGAAGCATGGGAACAACCAACTTTGAAGCTATCGTAGTTATATTAACCTCATCCCAACAATGCAGTGGGAGATGGAACATTCTTATCCAAACAGGAGAAGGTAAACCCTTCAAGGAAAGTGTGGAGAAAAGTAGGTGTCCATCTATCAATTCCAATCATATAACCACACACATACCAAGGACCTCCACTCATAACTCCCTCCAAAGCTTCAGTAGAGTGGAAAGAACTTAAAATCCAATCTAACCCCAAGGATCTTAAATGGAATCCTCTAAATTTGCTCCATTGCTTTCTTAATTCCACACCATAAAAAGGAAAATGATCATTCTTCCCTAAGACTTTCACAAACAATAAATTCTTCAACACTTGAGCATTGGCATTCTCCTGATCTGAATTAAGCTTCACATCAATTCCATCTTCCGACATTTCAGTAGAAACATGATTCAAATTTATTTTTATATGAGGATCAACATTCCACGAGTTTACCGGATTCTTGATAATAACATATTCCTCAACCAGCACAGAATTATTCACGTGATTATTAAATTCCACAGCATTAACTCCCACAATAGGTTTATCTATAATAGATAAAAGATTGACTTCATTCAATGAATTCCCAGTTGCAGGCATAACTGGATTAGAAGCAGTATGTGTCATAAATCTACTAACTTTTAACTTCAACGTAGACGATGAAGCTTCGAAATCATTATTTCCTAGATTCGGACTGTTCATTCTCAACTACATAACATTAGGAGTCTTCAGATTCTCAGCAATCATCTTACCTTTACCTTCAACCAAAGTTATTCACTGCATTGGTGGTCGAAACCCTTCTCTGATCACTAATGTTGACTTCCTAAGCGATGTACTCTGTGATGTTCCTTTCGGGAGAGACACACCAACCTTGCTATTACAAAATCATCCAGAGAACCCTAGTTCCTTAGCCGACGATTGAAGGGATGGAGAGATGACAGACGGCGAACACCGACAGTCATCCTTCACCATAACAGCCTTCCCGCTAAAAAATAGAAAAAAGAAAATTTGAAAATCCTCTCCCTCTTAGAAAACGCTCATACTATCTCTCTCTAGAAAACAATTAGCTCTCTCTAGAAACCTTCACGAAATATTTCCTATTCATAAATATTGTATGCAAAGAAGAATGAATAAAAAAGAAATTATATATGATTATATTTGTATGTGCGTTCTACATGATGGAATCACTTACGATATTAGAAAAGGACTTTTTTTTTCAAATTTAAATTAATCTTAAATATTAGAAAAGTACATAATATTACCCACAATTTTAAAAGATAAAAGGAAATGAATTACTTACTCTTAGAGGTCAACTTGAAAAGTTTATTAGATGATGTGTCGTTAATTGTACAATTTAGACAATGGTCCTATGATGGGTGTATTATAAAATAAGAGATTAAAATAATGAAGAATGCTAACAATTTCTTTTTAAATTAAGATTTTGTTTGATGCATTTAAAAGCAATTTTTTGGCATTCAAATTTCAGGTTCAAAGAATTTTTTAATGCTAAAAGTTTGCCTTAAAAAATAATAAAAAAGCCGTCTCAAATGAGTCCTAAATTGAGAAGAGTGTATTTCTATACAACAAAAGAACAACTTCATGAGTTAAGTATTATAAAATTTAAATGTATTAGTATGGATTGTCATTTTTGAAAGCATGCATTATGGAGAAAAGTTGCCACATACAAATTGTTCATGAATAAAAGGTTATTATTTGGCAGGTTCATTTTAAATTAGAATATGTTACTATAAATATAATGCGATAATCCAGGCTGCTAAGCCAGATCATAACATCTTGTTCATATGATGAATTTGATTTTTTTTTTTTTTTTTGGTCGGAGATATTTAGGTCAATTAAGATAAATTCATACATACATATAATATAAGCAAGATTCGAATCCAAAAACTCTTAGTTGTAATCAAAGCTCTTAACCAACAGATCAAAGAGAACTACGTTGAACTCAAAATTAAATAAACCTCGTTTAGTCCTTTTGGTGGAGAAGATGGGGGCAGCTGTGAAGGCTTGTAAAAAGGAGATTTCATAGATTGTTGAGAGGAGGAAGAGTGAAAAGGAAATTCCTTCAGTTCAGGCTGAAGCCAAGAAAACAAAAAACTATTACCATTGGATAAGGTGAGAAATCTCCTACAGCTGAAGTGTAAGAAACAATCATTGGGAAGCGAAGATCAGTGAACTACAACACAGGAAAAGCAGCATTCTCATCTGAGGTTTAGGACAAAATTCTATCATAAACTTCTTAAAAGAAAAACAATTTGAGCATTCAATGCAAAATCTATCTCAACCACACTGCCATCTTTGTCAGTACTCCAAACATGAACATAGGCATGTCAAACTTGTGCACACATATAAAATGCGACAAAACAATCAGCAGCCAAACCTCTCAATGTACATCAATCAGGACAAACTTTCACTGGAAAAGCAATACACACAAACTCAGGATATTAAAAGAATCAAACATCAAACAAACAAAAGAATCATCACCACTCAGTTTCAGCTACAATTACCTTCTCTAGTTCGCCTCTGAAGTGAGAATCTCAAGCTCCGCCCACCAAAGAGGTGATGCCATTGGTACTGCACGATCTGGGGTCATTAATGTTATATCTTTCAGTATGTTAACAATCTTTGACATTGATGGTCTCTCCTGATGGTCTGGATTGATACAGGACCTTATCACCTTACACAAAGCAATTGCATCCTCTTCACGAAAAAAGGTGAGTGTCGGATCCATCATTTCTTTTACAGGTCTGTTGCCATTAAGATAACATGAAGCCCAACACTCAAGCAGGACATCTCCAGATGCTGGAATTCTGCCTGATAGTATCTCTATTAGTAATAATCCAAAAGCATAGACAGTGTTCTTCGGCTCTAGTATTGGCTCCTCCAAGGTGCCTGAAAAATGAGAAGGTGGTGACTTGGCTTCTTCAGATTCAACCCAGAACCTGATATCTGAAACCTTCGCAGCATAATCCTCCGTTAGGTATATGGAAGATGAGTCCAAGTTTTTCATGATCAGAGGAGGACTAAGCTGGTGCATGTGATCGAGACAATATGCTATGCCCATGGCTATCCGCAACCGTGTAGCCCAGTCCAAGTGTTCTGCTTCTTTTACTGAAAAAATATATATATAAACTTATTTTGGGTGGATAAATACCAGATCGCTGACAAAAAAACACAAGCAGAATGCAAACTATCAAAGAATGACTAAAACACCGTCTAGTTGCAAGACATTTAAGTGTAAAATAAATCAAATTCATGCATTTTGAAAATTTAGCTATTTGGTTGAAGGAAAACCAAATGCAAGGTTTTTTACCAATGAATTTGGAATTCATTTTTTTGTTCAATTTTTTGTGAATCACAAAATTATTAAATTTGAAGAATTTATTGATACATTCCCCCCTCTACCACTGTCCAGCTCCCCCCACCCCCGGCCTCCCAAAAAAAGTAATTTTACTTTAAGGCAGACATAAAAAAGTAATTTCTTATATTTCTAGTGTACTCAATCATATAACTTAAAAATATTTTTAATGTACAACATTAACTTTACACTATTCATTTTACTCTGCATTCCTTCATCAACAAAATAAACAGCCCCTAATGAAAAATCATATGTCAAGTAGCACTGGTGATGTATGCAAGGGGGGGGGGTCAACACAAGTTGAATTTTTCTTGTATTTTCTTGCCTTGTGTCTTTTCATCTTCCCCCTCTCCTTTTATGTTATCTGTCCTTTCATCTTCCATTTGTCCTTTGGATGTTTGTTGGTTTCTTGAAGGCATTGGCTGTTTTCGGTTTGAGCTTATGTAGTTGAAACTCTAGTGGTGCCAGCTCATTAATATCTAGTGGAGGAGTAGCTCATTATGAGCTGATGTTTAGCTCTAAATTCATTATGAGGTGCAAGCTTTTAGGTGAGTGGAACTTGTCTCTTCCTCTTCCTTTGCCTCTTGAGCTGCTGCATTACTTTTCCTTCAATTATGCTGGAACCGTGGCCTTCATTGCTGTGACGTTTGGGATTTTATGAGCTGAAACCAGTGGCATTAAAGCCCTGTTGCTGCGTGCTGAATTCAGTAGCCTTAATTCCATATCCTATGTATGCCGTGGCCTCCTTGGTTGAGATGTGATGCTTGGGGTTTGCTGTAACAGTGGCCTCCTTGGTTGTGATGAGGCGTTTGGGGTTTGCTGAATCCCGTGGCCTCCTCCTTGGTTGTACCGTGAACACCTGGGCTTTGCTGTGCTGGAATCAGTGGCATTAAAAGCTGAGGTGCTGTTTGGATTTTCCATGCTGAAATCGTGACTTTTTGCTTTGCTGTTTGGAATTCCTGTGCAGGAATTTTAAGGCTTTTTTTATGGGAATATGAACAGTTTTTTGGGCTGTTTTTGGACAGTTTTTTGGGCTGTATTGGGACTGTTTCTGGACAGGTTTTTAGAACAGTTTTTGAACAAAATTTGAAGGTTTTAATGGGCTGTTTTGGGACAGATTTCTATACAGAAATCTGGACTGTTTGTATTCCTTCTTTGGTGCCTATAAATAGAGTTGTTTTGTGGCTGTTTAAAAAAAAGGGTTATGTGAATGATTTTTGGAAAGAAACCTGAGGGTTTTCTTGGATAGCTTGCGAGCTATGCCACTTCTTCCTCTCCTCTTCTAGGAAAGCTTGCGAGCTTCTCCTCTTTCTTCTCGGGCTTCTAATCTCTTTCGTCTCTCCGCAAGTGCCATTCCATATGTATCTTTCTTCTCAAAGTGAAGCAACTTTAGGGTGTCGTCAAGTGATTGAGTCAAGTTTGTAAGTCGTTTTAATTTTAAAAAGTTAGTAAGTCATTTTATTTTATTAAAGTAAAGTTGTTTAGTCTAATTTTTGTGAGTTATTGTAATCTTTTATTCTCTAGAAAGACTTCTTTTTTGTGATAAAAAATTTGGGTCCCTCTCCCAAATTTTTGATTGCATCAACTGGACAATGGCTTAATGTTGGGCTGAAATTCTATTTTGGTTCAATGAAATCTTAGGCAGATTGGTAATTTAGTCTCCTTTGGATGTTTGTTTGATAAAGGCTTATTGCAATTCCAATTTCAGTCAGAATTAGTCACGTAAAGCAGTTTTTCATTAATGTAAAACCGATCAGACACTGATCACTTTAAGTAGTAATCTTAAAATATTTGAAGATCGTGCTTAACAGTAATTCTGATTGATTGCATATTTGAAAAGAGCAAGCCTTATTGATTCTGATGAAACTGATGGCAAGTTCTCATTGAAGTAGGCCAATTAGATCCTGATCACTTTAAGATGGTAGTCTTAAGCGTTTGTTAATTTCTTTAACTAATTAAATACTAGAAAATCATCAAGACCTTCAAAATCTTCCTTTAACTTAAATCATGTTAATTGCATAATTCCAGAAGTGCAAACCGACTAAATAAAATGAGTTTGAGAGAGAGAGTCTGATTTTCTAGAGAGATAAAGCAATTTTGAAATTCTGTTTCCCTCGGTTTCGGCTTCCATTTTGGTGGCGGATGGTCACTGTCCATCCACCGGTGGTCCTCAGACATTTCCAATGGGAGATATTCGTCCATCAACTGGGGTTTCTTCAGTGCATTCTCGTTCTAGTTTGAAGTCCTCTAGTCATTCTTCTAGCAAAGTTTTTAATGTGTTGTCGGGTGGTTCCTCCTTACTGGAAGTTCGCAACAGACGATCAAAGAGAAACCTTTAGTCATTAATGAAGGTGGGTTGTTGAATGTTAGAAGGTTGCGGATGTTATTGGGAAGGGTAAAGAAGTGGTGGTGGATGTTGGTTTCAAAAGCCCAAAATTTGCTAATTCTAATTCCTTGGGTATCGGAGGTAACGGGAATTTGGATACGGAGGCCACATCCTCAGATGGGTTAAAGATTTATGTAAAGAGATTTGGGAATTCGATTTTAATTCCTAAAACATCAGAATATCCGATTAGTAAAAATGGCATGTTGCTACATGGCTCAATTGCTTCGGAAGCTAATAGTGATATTGCTGACAAGGTTAATGTTCGATGTTTTGAGAAGCCTAATGTTGAAGTTCACCAAATTTCGGATGATCGTGAGAAGGTTAGCCAATATGATTCAAGTGATTTGAATTTGGCTGACCAAGGAATTAATGAATCGTCATTACCAACCATGAAGGATCCTATTGGGAATGGCATGCCTAGTGTTTGGAGTAGAAAGCCAAATATAAGAATTGATAATTTGGATTTGGAGTCTTTCTTAACGGAATACGGGAAAGCTGTGAAGTTGCATGTGGAGAATGAGAGTGGGAGAATACTAGGAAGCTACAAAATGCTTTAGTTATCAAAGTGTTTGGAAATAACATTCCATTTCATGTGATTAGCCTTGAATTGAGAAGGCAATGGAGTCGTTTCGGTAAATTTCATCTCACCATGCTGGGCTTAGAATGGGTTTTTTGTTCATTCAATGAATCAGAGGCCATGGATTCAAATCTTGACTGAAGGGCCTCGGTACATTAATGGTCACATCATTGGTGTTGACAAGTGGTCACCTTCCTTCTCTCCTTCTTCAGTGAAGGGCCTATCAGGTCCGGTGTAGATTAGAATGCCAAATCTTCCATCGCAATGTTGGGATGAGATTAATGTTTGCATAATAGCATCTCAAGTAGGTAAGCCGTATATGTTGGATGGGAATATTTCAATGGGGAAGGAGAGAGTTTGCTATAGTTTGTGTTCGGATTATGTTGGATAGCCAGCTTCCCTTAGGTGTGTCGGTTGAACAAAGTTCTGGTAGGTTCTTCCAGAAAATTGAATAAGAAAGAGTCTCTTAATTATGTTTTAAGTGTGGTAAAATTGGTCACTATAAAATAATTGTTCAGAAGTGAGATCGAAGGAGGTTAAGGGTGGAGTTTCTCAACCTGAGATGCACTGCTCTAGGGATAAGGATTTGCCTGGTGTTGTTGCTGTTCAGGATTCTAAGGGAGGTAGTGGAGCTGCTGATATGGAAAAAAATGGATATGGTTATGGACCTTGGATCCATGTCAACTATGGTAAGGGAAGATTTAAGTTTTCTGATATGAGGGGGAATCAGAATGTTGTCACAGCTGTAGGGTGAATCAAGTTGAAAAGGTTGTGCCTCGGGACGTTGGGGATAAAGCAGATCTTGTTGATGATACAAGGGTGGTGGCTGGTCCAGAGCAGATTATTGGAGGTGGTTCTTTGTCTTCAGCTAATCCAATCGGTGAAGTTGATGTTAATCAAAATTTGAAGGTATTGTCTCCTTGTGATGCTGCAATTTTAGACTTGGGTAAGAAGTGTAATTCTATTTCATCTCCTATTATTCATGATGTTAATAAGTTTGATGTGTTAAATGGGGTTGGTGAAGAGGTGGGGTCGGATCTTAATGTTGGATGTGAGGAGGAGGATGTTGTTGCTAAATCTGGCGGGGATAAGATGGTGGTTGTGGTCTCCTAATGTGTCCGAGAATGATAAAAGCTTTTTGGAGGCGACTGTGCCTGGTTTTAAGGATGGAGGTACTTTATTTGTTAAAAGGAAGCTCGATAAAGAACTTAAGAGGCTAGGTCCTTTTATGTTGGTTCCTAGAAGTAGAAAAATGGATGTGGGGAATAAAGATAAAGTGGAGGATTGTTCCCCTTCATATTATTAATGATGTATGTTACTTTTTGTAACTGTAGAGGAGCTAGAAAAATTCAAGCTTCTCTCTACCTTAAGGAATTTGTTAAGGAGTATGATGTGGTTTTTGTTGGTTTCTTGGAGACTAACTTCTATTGATAGGAAGTTAATTTGCTTATCGGTGTAGTTGTCTGGAGGTATCCTGGTGTTATGGAAGTTGAATTTGGCTTCTTTTTCTACTTTGGAATCTTCTTATCAATGTGTGATTGGTGAGTTAGATATCCATAATAAAGAAGTTTGGAGGATCTCTACTATTTATGGGAATAAATATGTTTATAAAAGAAGGGAGCTATGGAACAAAGTTGAAATGCTTTCTTCCAAGGACATTCCATTGTTGGTGGGTGGAGATTTTAATTGATTGTTGTCCAAAGGTGAAAAAAGGGGAGGGAAAATGTTTATGTTTTCCCAAGGACCCAACGAGATGAAGCCTTTTTTAACTAATATTGATTATCATGAGGTTGAATATATTGGGCCAAAATTCACTTGGTGTAATAACAAAGGTTGGGGGAGCTTGGATTTTGGAGAGATTGGATAGGTACTTTTTTTTTGGATAGGTACTTTGTAAACTCAACTACTTTGAATGCTTCTCAGTTGATGGTGGTGTGGCATCTTACAAGGGTTGCTTCGAATCATTACCCCATTATTTTAAATCTTTGGAGTTATAGGACACAATGGAGAAAAAGGATTCATGTAGCCGACCCCACGTAGTGGGATAAAGGCTTGATGTTGATGTTGATGTTGGAGTTATAATCCTAAGCCCTATAGGGTCATAAGATTTGAAGGTACTTGAGCTTCTCATTGTGCTTCATCGGCTATTGTACTAAAAGCTTGGAATAAGAGGACGATGGGGAGTTATTCTGAAATTCTTAATATCAAAGTTTAAAAGGGCCAAACGCATTATACTATTGAAGTAAAGCGAAGCTTAAAGATCTTAATCAATTGAAGGATTGTCTTAAAAAGGAAATTCTGGAGTTGCAAATGGAGGAAGCGAATGTAGGTGGCCTCTCTAATGAGAAGATTTTGATTCTTAGATCGAAGGTGAATGAACTTAATAGTACCTTGTTCGTTTGAATACTTGGTGGAGGCAACGGGCTAAGATCAAATGGATGGAAGATGGGGATACTAATTCTAAATTTTTTCATTCTTTTGTAAGTGCCAGAAGGAATGCTAATCGTATTTACAATATCAAGGATGGGAATGGGTGATAGTTGAAGATCAAACTCAGATTAAAGATATCTTTTTCAATTTCTTTAAAGAGAAGTAGCAGGCTAGAAATTGTGTGTTGGAGGGTTGGCCATCCCCACTGTGTGTGCTGAATGAAGTTAATAGGAGGTTGCTGGAGGCGAAATTATCTATGGAGGAAGTTATAGGAGTGGTGAATATACTTGGTGGTAATATATCACCAGGAAATGATGGGATTTCTTATTCATTTATTAAGGCATATTGGTCCATTATTAAATCAGATGTGTGGAATGCTATCAACCATTTCTTTGCCACTGGATGAGTGGACTCTGATTGGAAGGATACGTTGATTGTGCTCATTCCAAAGGTGGATAATCCTTTGGTTCCATCTAACTTCAAACCAATAAGTTTGTGTAGGAAGATATATAAAGTGGCGGCTAAAATTCTCCTAAATATACTCAAATTTATAATTTCAAAGCTCATTTCTAAAGAGCAAGCAGCTTTGTGAAGGGACATTCTCTATCCAAGCATGTGTTGATAGCTCAAGAAATGTTTCACAAATTCAAATTTTCTAAATATTCTAAAGGTTTGGTTTCATTTAAAATCGATATGGAGTAAGCCTATGATAGTATGGGGTGGAGTACTCTGGAGCAAGTGTTAAACTACTATGGCTTTCCTTTGAAGTTTTCAAGGCTTATAATGGAGTTGTGTGGAGGATCCCAGGTTTTCAATTTTGATTAATGACAAGTCTTCCAACTAGAGTAAAGCTAGAAGTGGGTTTCGACAAGGTTGTCACTTATCCCCATTCTTATTTATTTTATGCTCTCAATTGTTATCAAATGCTTTAATTCATAAAGGCAATAAGATTGGTATTAAAGTTCATCCAAATGTTCCAAGGATCTCTCATTTGCTTTATACATATGATATTTTGATTTTTGCTGAAAGCTAATATTAAGGTAATGAAGAGGATCACGAAAATTTTGTTGGACTTTTGTAGTTGGTTGGGCCAAAAGGTTAACTATCAAAAATATGTCAGTTTTTGGGAAAGCTGTGAAAAGGAGGAAGAAAATTATATCTCATTTGATGGGGTTTAAAGTTGTTAAAGAGATGAACTATTTTGGTGTGAAGATTGCTCTGTGGAGGCTCGTGGCTGCTAATTTTCAGTATATTCTTGATAAAACTATGGGGAAACTTAATGCTTGGGGGAATAAATTTATTTCTTTAGCTAGGAGATTTACTCTTATGAAATCTGTTATTCTCTCGCTTCCAGTTTTTCATTGTACTCACTCTCTTGTTCCTAGTGGAGTACTGGCTGAAATTGATAAGTTGTGTAGGGATTTTAATTGACATAAACAAGATAAGAGAAAGGGCCTTCATTATGTGAGCTGGGGAGTGTTGTGTAAGCAGTGCGTGAACGTGGGCATTATACTTGTGTAAGCAAGGTGGGCCCTTTAAGGGCGAGTTGGCCTGGAAGTTCCTTAATTAGACAGATTCTTTTTTGTACAAGGTTCTAGAAGCAAGGTACAGTTCTTGGAGTTAGTTTTCTGAAGCTAAGCATAGCTCGTCGGTCTCTTGGAAGATTATTTTGAATGGTGCTAAAGCTCTTCATCCCATTGTTAGATTGAAGATTGCAGTAGGTAGTTCTATTAATGTATTCAAGGATGTTTGGTTGTTGGACAAGTGTTTTAACAAATGGCTTATATTTGTCTCAACTCTAGAGAGCAATGATATGACTGTGGATAAATTCATTATGGATCGAGAATGGAATAAGCAGCAACTTCAAAATTATTTTAGGGAGGATTTGATCATGCTGATTTGTCAAGTCCAGATTTATCTGGAATTGACAGAAGACCAAGTTAATCAAAGCTCAGGAAGATATATTTTTGCTTTAGCATTTATCTCTTTGGTGCAACATCCAATTGAAAATTTGTATTGGAGTTGGATTAGAAAGTAAAACTTACTCCACGTGTGAAAGTTTTCTGGTGGCGGTTGTATCATAATGCTATTCCTACTTGTCAATTTTTGGAGCATAGAAGGTTAACAAATGGTAATTTATGTCCTAGAGGGGGTATGGCAATAGAAGATTATGAACATGTGGCTGTGAATTGCTTGAAGCTTATTCAGGTAATAGAATATTTGAATAAATGGGGCTTCTGTATTCTTTCTTTGGTCTCATTTCAAGAATGATGCACATGGTTGGAGAATTGTGCATCCAAGAACAAGTTTTTGGTAAACCTTTATTGTTCTGTTGTTGTTCTATGTTGGAAATCTAGGAATAAAGTTGTGTATTGTGGCAAGGAGGATAGTAGTCTTTTATTGCAGCAAATTCTGTTAGCCTTGCTTCAATATCTTCTTTGGTTGGATGTGATATGGTAAAGTCGGGCTTCTGGGGTGCTAATCAGCTAGATCAGTTGGTCAATAAATGTTGGCACCCTCCTCCTCCCGTTTGTATCAAAGTTAATGTAGATGCTTCCTTACAACCGTCATATTAGGCGGGATCGTTGGGGGTGTATTCCATAATCACAAAGGGAGCTTTTATTGGCATTCGGATTCAGTGGTGTACATTGCGATGTATATCGGTTGGAAATGTTTGCTATCCATTCCTTGGGTTCGGTCATGAAAGATTGGATGTTGCGTTATAAGGGAATTATAACTGAAGGAGATAATGTTAACGTCATCAAGTTTCTTCAAGATGGTTTAAAGAAGATGGGTGGTAATAAGGCCGGCATTGGGATGGAACAATTTGTGTTCCTTAAAGATTTTCATCATATTATTTTTAATTGTGTGGATAGGGATTGTAATAAGTTAGCTGATGTCTGTGCTAACCTTGCTCTTAGTTATAGTTTTCTTTGGGTATGCATAATATTCCTCCTCATTTTCTTCATCTGTTAAAGGATGAATGTGACTGTATTGGTAGTTTGTATTAGGCCTTTCCTTCTTAATAACATTGCTATTGCATCTTTCAAAATAAAATAAAATAAAATGAGTAAAAAGCCACATCTATTATGCAAACAGTATATAATTCATTTTTAATAAGCTATTTTTTCCAGTAAAGATAAGAGTGATAAAGTTACTCACCATGCAAATGCTCAAATAGCGTTCCATTAGGAGCATATTCAAATACCATCATCCTGGTGAAAGGTTCCTCTTCCTCACAGTAGCCGAGAAGATTGACAAAATTCTTGTGGTTCACCTTAGAAAGTGTTGATAACTGAATTCATAGAAATCATAAGGTTTAGAGCACAATAGGCATCACATTTGTCTGAAAAAAAAGGCAACTTCTAGGTTACCTTCTTTCTAAATTGGGATTCACATTGTTTTGACCAATCTTTTGAAGATGCTATCAGAGTAGACACCACTGCTATTTCTACTCCACTGGAAAGGGTTCCTTTGTAGAACTTGCAGTCGGGTAAAGATCCGATAATATTGCTGAAATCCTCACAAGCTATCTCAATTTCTGATCGTTTAAGTGATGGTACACCTGTAATGAACTCCCTTATGAAATAGGTACCCGAAACATCCGTTTTGGAATTTTAAGCAGTTGGAGTGAAGCCAAACCTGTCACAAATGCCTTTTGTAACTGCCCACTTAGTCCTGTTGACCAAGGCCTGACAGTGACAACCTTGTTGGCTCGGCAGCAGAAAACAAAAAATATGGTCAAGGCAAGAAGAAAGGAAACTCCACCAATTATTGAAATGTATACAGTCCGAGAGATTGTATGTTTTCCTTGATTAGTCTCTCTTACTGATGAAGGGCTTATGGTTGGAGAAGGTAATGACTGAGAAGGGTTAGGAGCCAAAATTGTAGGATTAAGGCTGAAAATTGGAGCAAGAGCAGGAACCTCACTTGTTGGTGAAGCAGAGGGTGCAGGGGCAAGAAAATCACTAGGAGAAGGTGAAGGTTGACTTGCTGGAACGTTATTGCTAGGAAACGGTGGGAGGAAAATTGGCAAAGGTATAGCAGCACTAGATGGTAATGGTGGCAAAGATGGCCTTGATTGATGTATCAATTCCTGGGAAGATGGAAAATGGGTTGGCGATGAAGAACTTTTCTGAGTGATCTCGTTACTACGATACTGTTTTTTTCCTTTCCAACCCACTTGCAAAAGTTTCCGTGCAACACCATTGTCGGCATTCCTAATCAATATAAGAGCAATTTCTGCTAAGAACCACATTGGTTTAAAAAAATTAAGATAGTTTAGAATACAAATGGCATGCAGTCATTGGCAATCCTTCAATGTTACATTATCAAAATTTGAAGTGCTGCAAAGTATTTTTAATGTGAAACCACATGCGGGCCATATAAATAGGCCTCAAAATGACAAGACAACAAAAGACTAAAATGCCCCTCGGGCTACAATAACGACCAACTACCCATAAGGGCAAAAACGGAAAAACATAAAAATCAAATAAACTACTACATAAAATGATGAAAATAAAGGTCATGATCGTGACCGTCGATCTCCGGCATCTCCTGATGGTATATGTGTCGCAATCTCTGACGATGTCCCCATCAATTTTTCAAAGTGTGGAGTCAGATTTTTATTAACTATCTTGGATAAAATTTTATCTTGATTTTTCAGGATTAATGACTACCAATATAAGATCCATTACAATTTGATTTTTTTTTTTTAATTGTGGTTACCTAACTCAATATTAATTTACATTTGATTTCCAAATATGATGACTAACTAACTTCAACTCCATTTGCACTCAATACTTCACATGTGGAGCCAGGTTTAGCCTCCCAACACAAGGTATTTGATCTTAGCACTGTGCCCAGCACTTGTCACATCCCTTCATTATGTACAATCACACATCTCAATTCACACATGTGCAGAGCCCGCTTGCCCTTCCTTTGCTCTGCTCATGGTGTAGCTATTTCTCGCGTCACCTTTCCCATTTGCGCTTATGCCCGAGACACATCTACACTTAAGCCATGCCCTAGCAATAGTTTGCCACACATACTACTGATATCAACTAGAGAACCATCCATGGTTGCAGACCTACCATCTTTCTTGCTTGAGAACCATTTCTCTCACCTCCAAACGGCTTTCACATTTACTCGCTCAAACTCTGTCTTGTGTCCTAGTCTTTATCGGGTAGCACATCTCCTCATTTTCTCACATTGGCTACACCTAGGTTTTATTTTGAACCTCCAATTCGTTCCCTATTGCCGCCATTGTTCATGGATCCCTTCTTCAAGAAGGATCCTCCTACTTCGTATCTTTAGAAATTGTGCCTCTTGCTACTCTCACTTCTAGTTTATTTGCAAATATAATTTGTTCATTATTCAAGAGTTAATGTCTCTCCATCCAACCACTTCCTTTTATTTTTTTCAACATAATTCATTTCCACCTCAATGCAAGCAACCATCCCATTGTGAGATAATTTGTAAAATTTTCATTGAAGATGATATCTCTATGCTTGTTAATCCACTCCCTTTTTATGTTGTTAATAAATTCTCTTTGGTCCACCCCAACCTAGAGGTTATTCATAAATTCACGGTAGGATTCCACTAAATTGCTGACTATTTTGTTGGCCTAATTAACTCTCATCATACATTGCAAGAGTTTTCTTGAGCTTAACCCTCCTTATGAGGAAGATTCATGCATATAAATTCATTACATTGTATAAATTTCTATGCATATTTTGGAGTTCCCAAGTGAAGAAGTTAGCGTGACTGACTATGCTGTGCTCATAATCATATGGAGTAGAATTAAATGTGTTCAACACTCACAAACCAATCTATAAGAATAAAAGCCTCTTCCTTAATGGCATGGTGTAAGACCAAAGGGAACTTTCTACATATATGTAAATTCTTAAGTGCACAACAGGAGGAATGAACAAGTAGTTTTTGGTGTTAAAGATGAGAGCTACTTCCATCTACTAGGTAATTATGTGAGGGCGAATGAGAAATTCAATGTTGTGTAAGGGTAGACGATTATGGATCATCCTATCCACAAGAATCCATTGACAAGGTGATCAAGTGTGAGTTGTATGTGAGTTTTTCCTAGTTATCCGCACACTGGTGAAAAGCATTTTGCTTGTAATCCTCTAGTGGTCTAGAGAAGTAAAAGGCATAAAACCCATTATGATCTATCGTGGAGGAGATTTACTGAACATGCCCTGTAAATTTTTTGAACTGGAGTTTCCACATAATGATATTGTGTTCTGTTTGGTTGTTTTGTTCAACTTTTCTTTTGCTGTTAGTGAATAGATTTGGAGATAGCATTGCACGTTTTCTTCACCTATCCTGCGGTTAAGACTTATCATGTGTTAATTCCAGCATAGTATCTTGTTGAATATTTTTTGCTATGTTTGGCTTTTGCACTCTTATTCTTTCCATCTTTTAACAAAGATTCTAACAACTTTCATATAGGCTCTCCCTCATCTTCAATGACGCTGCCAACTATTTTCTCTAATATATTCACCACTCACAATTTGCCATTTCTATCACTCATATATCATTCTAATTTTTTGCAACATAAACTCTACTTGTCCATACCTTACTAGTTTCTTGGCCTTCAAGTCCCTCCAACAAACAATTTCATAAGATTTAGAGAAATTTTCTATGTTCATTAAATGCAAAGTACACCAGCACTCTCACCAAGAAAAAACACTAATAATGCTACTTATATTGTCCACAGTTGCACCTTTAATATATATATATATATATATATATATATATATAACTGTCTTCATATACCTATCATATTTAGTTACCACATGTGAAGACAGACCTGCAAGTTAGCTTAGAAGAATAAAATAGAGAAAGGGAGATCAATGCAGGAGAACATTCTTTCCATTTCACCCAAAGATATCTCGGTACACTGCAATGCATTTGTATAAATAGCTAAAGAATAGTATAGAATGTATGCTAGCAGGAGCCGTTAGTGACAGCCGGCTACAAAGTAGGGAGATAGTGCCAGCTGATGTAGTTGGAGCAGGATAGAGTATGAGTTCTCGCGGTGCATGAGAATGTGTTCTAACAGCCCCTCCTCAAATTGAGCTTGTGTGGAACAAATGCTCAATTTGTCCTAGAGATCTATAAATCTATTGGATTGAGAGGTTTGGTCAGCAGATCTATTGATTGATCAATTGAGTTGATATGTTGGATTGTAACTTCTCCTTTGTCGATATAATGCCTTATGAAATGATAATCTATCTCAATGTGCTTAATCCTTGCATGAAAAATAGGATTATGAGCTAGGGCCATGGCTGAAGTGTTGTCACAGTAGATGGGTATATGAGTGGTGAATAGACGAGCTAAGAGCGATAACGAGCTAAGAGCGATAACGCCGTCATCGGGTGGTGTATAAGCCAAAATATCTGACACATTAAAAGTCGGCGAAGTGTTGCAACCAGCAGGTAATGCGACGGAATAAGCATTGTCATTAACTTTGGCTGTAACAGGGATGGGTCCAATCTTCCGGCGAGACAACTTGGAGTATGTTCCAGGTGGGAATCGTTCTCTACGCAGTTTTACCATTACTAAATCCCCAACATTAAATAGACGATGACGACGATACGCATCAGCCGCTTCCTTGTAGCATTGTTTGGACTTGAGAATGTGTTGGCGAACATTAAATAGCATCTCAGTATAGTGCTCCGTGAAATTGGCGGCAGCAGTGGATTTGCATTTAGGTAGAATAGAAATGTTTAGAACAGTGTTAGGATGCTTCGTATAGATAATGCTAAAAGGATCTTTACCTGTAGATCTGTTCGTCATGGAATTGTAAGCAAATTCTGCCTTGCTTAAAACTTCCTCCAATTGTCAAGGATGCTCCTGAACCAAATACCTTAGCATGTTGCCTAAGGTGCGGTTAACGACCTTCGTCTGGCCGTCAGACTGTGGATGATACACCGAACTAAGACGTAAGTCTGTGCCCAAACTTTTTCAAAGCTCTCGCCAGAAGTGGCTTTTGAATTTTGCATCTCGGTCCGAGGTCAGACTCCTAGATAGTCCATAAAGGCGAACAATTCCCTCAAAAAAAAAGTGAGCAATCACTACTGCATTAGAAGGTTTCTTACAAGAGATAAAATGAGCCATTTTTGAGAATCTGTCAATGACCACCATGATTGAGTCATTTCCCCGTTTAGTTCTCAGCAACCCCAGAACAAAGTCTAAGCTGAGATCTTCACAAAATAGAATTCGGAACTGGTAGTGGCATGTAAAGGCCGGTATTTTGAGCTCCACCTTTGTAATTTTGGCAAATGGGACAACTGTCAACTAAACGATATACATTGTGAGTGTTATGCCTTCCCACATGACTTGCAAGTGCTCCACCATGAGCTTCCTAAATTAAGTGTTGTCACCAAGAAGACACGGGAATACACAACATATTCTTTTTAAATAGGTATCCATGCCGAATTGAATACTCATCCACCATCGGCTATCCATGGCATTGACTCCAGATTTCACCGAAATCGGGATTTGTCCCATACAGGCCTTTGAGGCAATCCAAACCTGTTATTTCAGTTTGTAAGGTCATCAATAGATTTATTTTCCTACTTAGAGCATCATCCACCCAGTTGTCCACACCTGGCTTGTGTTTAATTGTGAATGAAAACCTTTGTAAGAACATTAACCAACAGGCATGCATGCAATTGATCATCTTTTGACTGTTTATATATTGTAGTTCCTTATTGTCGCTACATAGTATGAAATCTTGGTGAAGTATTGTTGCACTGTTTGAAGGCACGGATAATGGTATAGAGTTCTTGCTCATATGCTGCCCATTTTTGACGAGACAGACATAATTTCCCACTAAAGAAGGCTATCGGCTTGCCCTCTTGGGAAAGGATAGCACCTACGCCAACAGATGAGGCATCTGTATCCACTGTAAACAACATGTCAAAATCAGGAAGAGCAAGAACGGGGGCAGAGCGGAGGGCACTTTTGATTGCGTCGAAACTTTGTTGTTGTTCTTCAACCCATGAAAAGAATTTGGACTTGAAACATTTTGTGACTGGGCCATAATAATACTGAAGTTTTTGATAAACTTATAATAAAAAATTGGCCTAACCGTGGAAACTCCGAACCTCAAAGAACAACTGAGGAGTCAGCCATTCAGTGATAGCAGTGATCTTCTTAAGGTCCATGTGAATGCCTGCCACCGAAATTATAAATCCCAGGAAGCATACAGTAGGAACACCAAGCTCGCACTTTGAACTATTGATAAATAGTTTTTGCTCCTGTAATATCTCGAAAAGAGTAGCTAAATGCCCCAAATGCTGCTGCCAGGAGGTGATATACACCAATATATTATCAAAATAGACAATGCAAACATTTTCCAAAAATGGCTTCAACACTTCATTCATCATCCTCATGAAGGTAAACGGAGCATTACACAATCCAAATGGCATGACTTTCCACTCATACAGTCTTTGGGATGTTTTGAATGCAGTCTTTCATTCATCCCAGAGGAGTATACGAATCTGATGGTACCCACTTCGTAGATCCAATTTGAAGAAATAGAAGCTCCCATAAACTGATCTATCAATTCGTCGATACGGAGCACCGGAAATCTATATTTAATGGTTATTTTATTAATGGCCCTTCTATCAAAACACATTCACCAACTGCCATCCTTCTTTGGAACTAATAATGTGGGCATGGTGCAAGGACTCACACTGGCCTGTATTAATTGTTTCTCTAGTAGCTTGTCAACCAATTCTAGTAGGATTTGTTGTTCCTTTGGGTTGAGGAGGTAATATGGAAGGTTCGGTAAGCTGGAACCAGGCGCAAAATCAATTTGATACTGAATGTTTCTGAAAGGTGGAAGTTCGGCTGGCAAGTCATCCGGTGCAAAATTCTTGTATTACTATAGAAGCTTCATAATATCATCAGGTAGTTTGTTTGGGCCCGAGGGTGGAGTACGCTCAGCTATTACTAAAGCAATGCGGGTTCTGAGACTAAGTGCATGGCGGCCTGTTTTGAAGTTCCCGGGGAGGTTTTGATCTCAACAGAGCTGGGTAGCAACTTTAATCTCTATCCCTTCCACTCGAAGGAGTATATGTTGGCCCCATAGTCATACGTGGCTCCTACGTCAAATTGCCAAAGCCTTCTCAATATAAGGTGACAAACGTCCATTTCGACGACGTTGCATACCACCTCGCACACGTACTGCTTGCCGATAGAAAAAGTGATTCGACAGGACTCAACAATCGCAATTTCCATCCCTTTTTTAACCCAACTTATCTTATATGGATTTGAATTTTTGGAAGTCTTTAATTGCAAATTTTGAACCACATAGTGGGATATCACGTTTTCGGTACACCCGCTGTCTATGAGGAGGTTACACACTTTGCCATTGATAGTAAACCGAGTCTAAAATAGAGCATGTCATTGTGAATTAATACTTTGTCTGGGAGCCAATAGCAACTTTTCTAAAATAGCGATCACTGGTTCTCCCTCGTCTGCGTATACATCTTCAGGTTCTACACCACCGTTGGATTCAGCTTCTATGGATCTGCCACCTTCCTCGAATTCAGTAAAGTGTGCTTGTTTTCTTTGTGGACATTCATTTGATTTATGTCCCTGCTGAAAACAATGAAAACATTTGATTATTGATAGGTTAGCATAAGGGTTATATTTACCTTGGGACCTCATTATCGCCTGAGTAATGGACCAAATTGAGTTTAGTTCGAGCTTATCCTGGATGCTATCTTTGAGATCACCGATGTAGCAAGCTACCAATTGATTGACCGGTTCATTTAGGTTATTCCTAGCGCTCAACCTATTGAATTCTTCAGTATACTCACTTACCGATCTTGTCCCTTGCAAACAATGTTGTTATCTCATATAGAGAATTTGCTCAAAATCAGTAGGTAAAATTTGGGTTTACAACAATTGCTTCATACGGATCCATTCCCTTTTCTTTGTCTCAGTTGCAATGTCTGTGCTCACCAGGCGCTAGCTCCTCCTCTCAATCTACATGCTACATACTTCACTTATTTACTAGGATCAATTTCCATGTAATGAAAGAAGTTCTCAATAGCTTTTTCCCAATCGAGGTAATCCTCAATGTGTAAATGGCCATAAAAAATGGGATATCTAATTTAACCTTAAATTCATTATGATGATACGACATAGGCTGGTGGTATCCGTGCAAATGATTAATCTTCAGAAAGTGGTATGTCCCTCCTTCAGCAAGGCAGGCAATGCAGAAAAGTTTTATAAAATCTAACGCAATGAGGAAGGACTATTATTCAGTATGAAGCAGAATTTACCTCTTTATCAAGATATGTTCCACATCTTATCAATACTCCTACAGAGAAATGTTTTGAAGCATGACAAGAAAAGAAAAGCATCTTGTTATCTACTATGTACATATTGTTTTTGTGCAACAGTAGAGTCAATAGAACATTTATATGGATGTATGAAGCATGACAAAACAAGTATAGGATCTTAAATTAAAACTTAATAAATATTAAATTAAAAAAAGTTGGCTATGAAATGATATGACAACTGCTTTACATATGGGGTAAAGTGACCCCGAATGACCCCGAATGAGGCAAAAGAGACCTCTGTGAAATTCAAGAAAAAAGAGACCTTTATGAAATTCGATGCAAAATGGACCCCTAATGAGGCAAAAGGGACCTCTATAAAATTTAATGGTGATAATGTCAGGTTTATCTGGGCTCCATTGAACATTCTTATGAATATTAACTTTATGAGAAATGATAGTCATAACTCTTAGAAGACTAATTATGATATTTTGTATAGGCCTCATATGATACAAAAGATAATGCTAAATATGATTTTTATGTTTTGCAAATTATTTTAGATTTGATTCGGTTAAGATTTCAATTATGTTAATTCTATAATTCTTGCGATTTATTTTTTATTTAAATTGCATAACTTTATGAGCTTCATAGCTCATTAGATTTTTATTCTGGCTTTTGTTATAGAAAAGGGCAAAGATAAAGAGGAAGTTGAATAGCCTCTAGCCACTTTAAAATTTTATGCTTTGTTGTATACCTGGTATATGAGTCTACAGCAGAGATATATAGACTATTTATTACTGTAACATTTTGAAGTTTGTTGGGCTCTGTAGTCATCGATGGATGAATAAAATGAGATATTTTGAGATGCTTCCGTATATTGAGGAATATATTAAATGAAGATTGACTATAGATTTATGATCATGAGTTTTAATTTCATGATTGTTGTTTCTAGGTTGCACCCTATGTTGCCAAGGGGGTGATTTGGGGTGTGACAATACGTAGCTTCTCAACAACCATCATTTTTATTCGAAGTAAAATTTACATGCGTATGCTTTTAAACACAAAAATCAAGGGTATCTTTCATCTCATGAGGTTAAACATAATTTATATTTAAAGAATTCTAATCAAATTTTTAGACATCACATGGAGAGTAAGAGGAGTCGTTAATCTCCCCAAGTGAGTTTGCATAAGAAGCTCTTCCTCAAATGATCTTTTCCTCAACATAGAACTCATTAAGAGCTGCCCAAGTACTTGAATAGCTATCATGCAACAACACTTGTACATTTTTACAACAAACATTGTTAAGTCTTGTTATTTAATTTTATTTGTATTACTTGATGTAATCATTCTTTTAGCATTGAACCTCAATCTTAAACTATAAATAGAGAGTAAGAGGATGAGCATAGCATAATATGATTGACTGAGATCTAGTGAAATTTCTAGAGCTTATCTATCAAGTTTTCTCTTTCTCTCTATTTTTCCTTTCTTAGGCTTGTTCCGTATTTGCTAGTAAATTTCTAATAACACCCGCAGACATATATGGATCAAACACGTCCACAACAACATTAGTGCATAAAATTGCATTTGCAGGCACACCATGATATCAATTCACTGGGATCAATGCTACATTAATAATTTTCAGCCAGGAGAAACTAACCAATGGATGCTCCGGATACTCAATTTGTTGATAAGGCAATCAGGTCCAAACTACCAACCGAGAAAAACCATTATGAAAAACATAAAATTAAGCAAGTAATTAGGGCAAATTCCCATCACTCACTGAGACGCAACTCTTCCATCAGTGCATTCCGCACCACACAACGACCATGGATCAGAAGCGCCCTCCTCATTCCAATCCGCTATAACGCCGAACGGATCCACCAACTTCTCCTTCAACCTCAACAGAGCCTTACCTGCACCATTCTTCATACTGAACAATAACACCAACAAATAGAGAGAGAGAGAGAGAGAAGAGAGAGAGAGAGAGAGAGAGAGAGAGAGTACTAAAAAACCCCTGACCTTCAACGCTGACAGCAGCAGCGATTTCCAACTCCCAACAGAGCAAAATCAAAGTAGCAAATCGCCATGATAGACTAAACCACCCCATCTCCTCTAAAACCGAAGAAACTTAATGAGGGAGCTGCAAAGGAATTCAGGATCCATAGTAGAGTCAAAAAAAGGGAACTTCCGTGGAGTGTCGGGCACGCGGAAAGAAGATATT